TAATAATATTTCAGAATATTACTGTTTTTACTGTATTTTTGATCATAGAAATGCAGCCTTAGTGAGCATAAGAGGCTAAAACAAATCATACCAACCCCAAACTGAACAGTAGTCTGTGTACATACACATACACGTTTATATATTATTTATAAATATTTCACATTTATAAAACTGATCAGTTTAAAAACTAAACTGATCATTAGTAACATCTAAATACATATACTGTATATATATGTAAATCCAGATATGTAATTCTGCATAAAATGAGTGTTACTGAGTGTTTATCATATTTGTACATCATTTCATTGTAAGTAGGTCATCAAAACATTGTTCGGCCTACTGAATGCTGCCATGCACACATACAGGTATCAGATTTGGCACTATTTGCTGATTTTGCCAGCTATAACATTTTGTGAACATTTGAAAACCCTGTGTGTTTTTCTTTTGTGTGCATGCGACTGAAATCAAACACTTAACAGGGAAAATTGCTTTTTTGAAAAGAAAGTCTTTTCAGTTATGAGGTGTTTGAAATTGACAGAACTATGTTCCAGAATGAAAGTCAGTGGATGATGAATCATGAATAATGGCTGTGTGTGTGTTTGTTACTGGGTCAGAAATTGTTTTGGGTCTCAACTATAAATCAGTGAATGAGTCGCAGCAGGTAGTCTGCCATAAAAACCCCCCACAAACAACAAACACACACATATATGCAACATTACACCTAAGCCTATTGGGGATTATTTTGTGTGTGTCTGCGTGTTTCTGTAGGTGTGTCATGCTGAGCTTCAGCTGGCCTTGTGCTTCCAGCCAGTGAGTAGTCGAATGCAACTCCAGATCCTCAGTGCTCAAAACCTTCCATCATCTTCCTCACCACTTACACAGAGTGAGTCTTTCAGCTTTCATCATCATAATCTCGCACTCTCAATAAAATAATTTTACATCCTAATCCATTTTAAATATAATTTCATTATAAGTTAAGTTCTCCTCCTAAAATCTTTCTTATATCTTATTAATATTCCTCCTTAGTTAATTGTTGTAGAAGGGTGATAATGACTAATATGACAGTTGATCAAATTAACTGTGCAAATGGACGTTCTCTTTAGGATTCTTTGTGAAGGTTGAGTTGTTGAGTGAGGGTAAGGTCTTACTGAAGAGGAAGACGAAGGTGATGAAGTCATCAGAGGGGCAGATCCAATGGGGGGAAGTGCTTCACTTGCCCATCACCAATCAAGACCAGAATCTGCAGCTGGCAGTCAAACTCTACGGTCGTGGCTCTGTTCGGAGAAAACACCTGCTTGGACAGGTCAGTTTGGAGCAAAATACATACATTACTATAACACACTACATTTAGTATCTTTTAAATTATTTAATCTAAATTGATCAGAATTTCATTTTTAACATTATTTAAAATCCATTTCTTTACTGTCACTTTTGACCAATTTAAGGCATCCTGAGTTTCAGTCTTTATGTGTATTCCTTCATTTCTAGGTCCTCTTGGGTTTCGACAGCAGTTCTACTGAGGCAGTGGAACAATGGAGGGACTCCATGGCTAATCCTGAAAAAGTGGTGACGTCTTGGCACAGAGTTAGTCGACTCTGAAGTGAGAGGATGAAGAAAGAGATTTTTTTAGCCAAGTGGATTTTAAATGCAACTTTTAAAAAAATCATAATTTTTTTTTTCTATCTTTGAATAATTAAATATGGTTATTGTAGGGCAAAAAAGTGTTTGTCTAGAACGCTGTAGTAGAAATTTCTCATTTACAGGTTTAAATTGAGTGACACACCCTCTGCAGATTCTAGTGTGGCTAATGTATTCAGCTGTTTGTAGATTTAACATTCTGTTCTTCATTGGTGTAACTTTGAGAACATGCAACTGTCTAAAACATTGCACAGGAACAGGACACAGACATTATGTGCAATAAAGTGTATTATACAGAGCTCTACAACTGTCAGTTTGGCAACATGGCCAAATATTGAGCAGACAGTCAGCTAATTACGTAACAGAGTTCATAAATGAAGTATTATATTTAGTATTTTTTCTGTCACCTCCATACAACTTCAGTGCTGCTGAGTTAATGTGAATCTGTTCTCTGTGGAAACAGATACCTGCATTTTCTGAGCAATTCCATGACAATTATTGCACTTTAGCCAGCTTTTGGAAGAAGATAAACCTGTTTTAAGTGCAGTAAAAACTGTGTTGGTGTTGGGGGTGAACACTATTTAAAAAGCTTTTATTTTTAGAAGTTCAGAAGGGTTTGGGTTACATTCCTTTCCATGGAATTCAATCCTTTAAATTGTTCCCTATTTCCTTTCACAAACACAAAAAGTGAAAGGCCACAAGAGAGTGCAACAAAGAGACTTTTGTTTTGTTAATCACTTCCCTGCATCCTTTGTGCTACCCTTAATTTAAGGTGACCTATCTTTTTAGGCCTTGTCATTTCTAAGAATTTCTTTTTGCACAGGTGACAGTAGCTTGTCTAAAAGTGTTCATTGTATTCATGTTTAAGTACATTGTGTTAAGTAATGTTGTAGTTCAGTGGACATGTGATATTATGTAAGACAGATATTTAAAAAGCGAATATTTTGTTCATATTGACTGTATTTTGTATGCATACACACAAAG